TGTACCGTGTTTCTATCGAGTTTTACTATAAATCTACTAGTGTTCTATCACGAATGCCGTTCTCTGATTGGCTACACTACTCACTATCTATTCCGTGATAGATATTGAGTAGCGTAGCAGTGCGCCCTTGTTAACAAAATGAAAGCCGCTTCTTGGCGTTTTCGAAGTGTCTGTGAGCAGGATTTAAATAGAGTTTTGAACGACTACTAGATTTATACTAAAACAATTACATTTTTCGCTCTCGATTTCTTTGCGTGATAGTTGACTCGGGCGGTAGAAATCTCGAGCTCATAATCTAATTGTTTATTAGTATAAATCTACTAGCGTTCTATCACGAATGGCGTTCTCTGATTGGCTGAGCTACTCACTATCTATTCTGTGATGGATAGTGAGTAGCGTAACAGTGTGCGCTTTTTAAAGATCTTTAACGCGGAAAAGATTTCTTCTTCAATTTATTCCGTTATTTTTCCACGGTGCTTGTTAGAAGTTCGATGGTTGTCCGAAACTAATATTCCAAAAGGGAAAATAACCTTTTCCGTACACCCAAAGTCGAAATCATAATTATAAACAGAAATATGTAATATTAGACTTTGCAGAAACTGCTTTCATTGCACATTCCTTCGTTTTATTGATATCTTCTGAACCAACAACATGCATCCAGCTTTTTCCCTTTGTTTGACAAGTTTCTTTATGCAATCAGTGTAGTTAACTTTTTAAATGTACTTTAGATACTTTATACAATCATTTTCATTGATTAATCGGTCATGTCCATCACTTGGGCCTTATTCATCAATAGAAACGCAGCAAATACTGACTATTTAGATATAATACGCAATACAAAGGAAGTAAAGCATTTTGTCAATCTTCCACATTCAAATAATGCCCGACAGATTGATGGTTACAAACTTTGACAGGATTTTTTCCAGCACGGTACTTTTTCACTTTAAACACAGCCCTTCCAACCTATTAGACCCTATAGGCATTAAAAACTACGAAATCTTCCATACATCATCCAAGTGCCATTATCTTTTACATATATTTGTACATGAAAATAGATATTTAAATCATACATTGCACGACTGAAGGCCAGAATTTAATTTATATACATATTATGATGCTTTCAGATTTCATGTTTCACAATTATTTGCAGGATTATCTGTATAATGCAGGCTATTTCAACGCGTACAGCATTCTTATTGCAGACTACTTTTAAACACTCTTACATAAGCTACATTTAGAAAAAAGATTTGCATAATCATGCAACTACAAATTATTGAAAGAAGAGATGAAAAAATTTTTAACTACTTTTTTCCTCAATAAAGAAGGATTTTGAGTTTTACACCGTTGTATTGTTATTTGTTCTCTCCATTTAACCCAGAACATACTGGCCTGATACATCAAACATACAATTCACGGTGGATTCGTTTCGGTAACGTTACCCCGGCGATCACCTCAGGGGAATTTCGCCTCCGTCACGTGACCCGAAACGAACTGACCGCGCGGGAATGGGAAGGCTTCGAAACAAGACAACCTTACGATAACGCTGAGTACAGTATTCTGGAACAGGAAAAATTTAAGAGATTCCGTATGGCGCCATAACCAAGCTAATCACAACACTTAACGCTATCAACCAGCTGTTCTTCTGTATACTGTAAGATCCTGGGTTGGTTCCAGTGGGTGCTGTCGTGTCGGCAGCAGATGTTGCCGTTGTCCTGGTTGTGACAGTTGTTCGGTTGATATCATCTACAGCTGCAAAGAGAGAATGTAATGGTTGGTTTTATAGTCAAAATCAGACATTGCATATAACTTCAAGCGTCAAGCTTGTTTAAGCGTTGACAATTTCTAAGCGATGATCAATCGTGAACAGCGACATCTACCGCTTCAACTAAAATCGCGGTCTCAGAATTTACCCCCTCTCCCAGTCCAACTAAGCTGTCACTCACAAAGAACAGACGCACAATTGACGTGCGTCAGTCACACTGACCTCGTGGCGAGATTTCTTTAATCCTGATCATGTAAACTCGAGGTCCTTTGGTCATAATCTTAGGATGTATCTGGCATTGAAATTCCAATCCACGGTCAGCCTCTGTGGCATTGGACAGAATGATTGACACCCCGTCTGTCTTCAGTCTTGTTAGGTACTCTGGACAGGAGCTGATGCAATTTTCCACCAACCTGCATGGCGAGGAGGGGCTACAGTATGCTATTTTCACTTTCGTTCCATCTTGTGAGACTCTGTACCACTCAATATCTTCCACTGTTTCCTCAGAAAAGATGTCGTGAAATGTTTGACTCAGGTCCAGGTTTTGCCCAGCTGCGGAGGACAGACCTAAAATTAGAAGAGGGAGACGAAACAAAACAAATTATATTTTCATAAATAAAATGAACTTAAATTGCATCATGTTCCCACATGTAACTACTCTGCACTTACAACTGAACACAGGAAACATTTTTTTTTCACTGAATTATAATCAAGCAGTCTAGCCATGATTTCTACTTACAATGCTTTGCAGAAGTTACAATTATTTTGTTAGCAATGGGGCCTCTGTTTCCGCTGCGTTCTATGACACAAGTGTAGACAAGTCGATCGTTCAGTTTCATCTGTTTCACAAGAAGTGTTCCACGAACAGGATTGCTTACATTGATTCTTTGATCAAAACTTCTTATGTTTCTGTATCTGGTACACTGCAAGTTTTTGTTGCAGTAGACGACATATTGCTTCTTGAGATCTTCGAGGTCAGTGACCCTCCATTGAAGCTCCAGAAAAGTTCCATTTTGGAGGACCGATTGCAGGTCAGGACATTCCAGTGCGATCTGCTCGTTAGGGCATTCTGTTCGCTGACTGTCAGCTAGAACACCTGATCAGAGAGAAACGATTTCATTAAGTGACAAATAGACCAAAGATTTCAGTAACATCCTTCGTGAGCAGCAGAGGTCAAACTCGGGATGCGCACTGTAAAAGGATAGTTTCTATGTGACTGTTATAACGCCGGATCAATCCCATCAAAAAAGAAGTTCCGCGATTTTCCACCTGCGGCATGTCAGACCGGCACTGATACTCATTTGAACAAATTGTATATCGTAACGCCCACAGAATAGTAACATTACGATATCATTATTTTTTTTTTTTTACACTTCAACTTTCAACAAATCTTTTTAATTTACTTTATTACAAAATGTGTTGCGACAAAATGGTCAGGACAAAAAGCCGTTGCATCAATATAAGTGCGGTTTTCGCGCAGGTAAGGGAAAACCCCAGCTTTCATTCAATTTTCATTTATTGTCAACAAATTTGTAACCAAAATCTACACTTTTCCTTCTATTGATACCCCGTATCAGAGAGGTCTTAATTACAGACGGTATTCGACGACGCTTTCATTTCTAGTTTACATGTATGTGGCACAAAATAATCTTATCTAAGAGCGACTCCACTAAGATTTATAATTTCTGAAGTTTCCGCTTCCATTGTCTCCATTCAGAAACATGCAAAACATTGACACTGTTGAGTATTGTTTCAATCAAATTTTCAAGAGCGGAGAGCGGAAAAAGAAGGGAATCTGTGCTCGCTGGGCATCCGGCAGTTTGCCATGGATTTTCCGAGGATCATCAGTTCGAACTTATCACTCTGTTATCTAGCATCCATGATATGGCAAGACAACTCGTCTTGTCGGTGAGAGACAAGAGAGAGAAGAGAATTTCCATCTTGCAGGGCATCCGGCAGTTCGGCACCAGATTTTCCGAGGAACGTGTCACTCTGAGGTAAGACTATTACAGTTAGATTCTTACATTTGTGCTGAATTTTTAACTATGGAACATCTGATTTAGTACAGAGAATTAAGCAAAACGGTACGGGCCAGCAATTAAAAGATCATTGTAACAGTAATGAAAAGAACCTACCGGCAAACACAGTCACGCACAGACTGCAAGTTATAAGAAACTTGCGAAGTAAAGACCTTTGTAGAAGATCGTTGTCGCTGTAAAAAGCCATCACTTTCAGTACGAAAATCATATGTGAGACGCTCCTTTTATACACCTTCATTGTTATTTTGACTCATTACACAACTATTTATTTATAGCTTTTGCTTAACAAGCAACTGTTAATTGCGCGATAATGAAACCCAAAGTTGATTTTTAAAAATGTATTGTAAAAACAAAATAGAGCTGGAATAATGATTTGAGAAGCATCTCCAGCCCAACTGTTCAATTTATTAGTAAACGGTTATGAACAATAGTAGAGGTTGTGTAATGTTATCTGTGTTTTTGTTTTTACACAACGAAATCCATTTTTTTTTCTATTTCCATATCAAGAGCTCGAGTAGATTCCATATAGCAAACCAAAAAGCATGTCATAGACACTTGAAAGAAGTCAACGCAGCAACTTACCTGCACTTCCGTTGCCACAATACCGCAGATTGCACGAAGGCGGCGGCTTTAATTCATACACAAAGAAAGCGCCACAGTTCCGGACTTTAATGTCATCACTATGACCACAGCACGATAACCAGTTATAACAGACTTGACGAACCACCACACCATCGGCGACTGTAGGGTGTACACCAGAAAGCCAACCTGAAGCGACAGTGCCACAGCGAAGCATGGAAACGCACGTGTCCGCCATTTGATCCCCCGCAAGTCCTTGGAAGCGGTACCAACCTAGTTGCAGGTCACTATCACATCTCTGTTGCGCCTGTAATGTGTATCCTTGAGCGCGATCTACTCCATTTAGGATTTTGTAATTTTTACACCCGTCCACTATCAGTGAAAATATACCAATTAGCTAATTGTCATGACAAAAGTACTACCGTAAAATCCCACATCAAAGCCCTGGGTTTATATAACTTCATAAGCGAATTTTGGGTGGGCTTATAAACGGGAGGCTTATGTCCCGGGGGTGCGTATGAACAGATTAAAAAAAAATGTTACGGAACGACGAGATAAAACATATCTGAGAAACGAAGTAAAGCTAACAAACCATTACATTTAGAGCTATTACCGTATTACCCTATTAGCCTATAACTTATAATTAAAAATTTTGATCTTTGTAATGAAACGCAAAGGAACACACTTAAACATTAGATGGGCTTATATCCGGGAACCTATATCCGGAATAATATCTTTGTTAGCAAAGAGAAGGGCTTATATTCGGGGGGACTTATAACCGGGGGGGGCTTTAACGTGGGATTTTACGGTACTACTTTTAATTGCAGGTCATCTTATCGTTGATATAATTTTATCTGCATATCAATACAACATCTGTATAAACGGAGCAAAGAGTCGTGATTTAACATGTTAATCACAATTCAATACCAAACACTGTAAGTCACTGTACGCCTTTGAAGCTAAAATAAAAGATGTTACCAACGGTATATCCTAATGCTATGAGCTCAGACATAAGATG